ATATAAATGTGTTTGTGGGTGCGTAGATGTATAAATATACATTTATATTTATTTATATATATATATATTTATATACTGTAAATATATATATATATATATATATATATGTATATATATATATATATATTTATCGATATATATAAATGTGTGTCTATGTGTGTCTATGTCTGATTTTATGTTTACATTTTGTATATAAATATGTATGTGTGTCTGAGTGTCTGAAATTGTGTATGTATATATACAATATATATATATATGTGTGTGTGCGTGTGTGTGTCTATGTCTGTGCTTTTGTTTATATATATATATATATATATTTGTATGTATATTCATATCTATTTCAATATTTCTTTATGATTAAATATATAAACAAGTGTGTGTTTATCTGCATATATATATATGTATTCATAGACATATATATATATATATATATAGTGCATTTTTGTTTGTTTGTACCTATATATATGTGGGTGTGTGTGTATGTATGTATGTATATATTTGTATATGTATTTGCGTGTGTGCGTGTGTATTTATATGTATTTAACATTATCTTTATCTTCATTTATATATTTATATGTCTATATGTTTACATATACTCATATATATATATACGCATGTTATTGTGTGTTTTATGTGTATGCGTACATATATATATATGTATTTGTATTAGTATTTGTATTAATATATATTTCTTTACATATATACTTATGTATATATATATGAGTGAGAGCGTGTGATTTTGAATGTGTGTATATATATATATATATATACGTATGAATGTATATATGTATGAATACACGTACGTATAAATGTATGTATATATATATATATATATATATAATCTGTGTGTATTTATGTGTCTGTGTGTATATTTGTATGCGTAGAAATATTCGTTTCCAAATTTTATGTATATATATACGTATACTCATATATTTTGTATAAATGTGTTTTTGTATGTATATATATATATATATCAAATTAATACATTTATATATATATATATATATTGATTTCTACGTATGTATATTATATATGTGTCTGTGTTTTGTGTCTGTATATATATATATGTGTGTCTGTGTCTGGTGTGTGTGTATGTTTGTTTGTATCTATATCTATATGTATATGCATGTATGTATATATTTGTATATTTATATATATATATATATATATATATATATATATATACTTACTTA